ACAATTAGAGGTTAGAGACAAAACCAAGCAGTGTCTAAGCACAATATATGTCAAAGGTTCTACAAATGTAAATATATTAATGATGAAGTGATAACAAGTGTCCTGCAAAAACTACATGAACAAATTAAATAGATTTTTTAAATAATAAATATAAGAATAATAATAAAAGAAATTCGTTTTATTTTAGGACTGAGAAATGAAATATTTAAATAATTAATTGAGAAATAAATCTGATGCACTATAAGAACAATTTAAATAGTCAGATTTTTTAAACTTATTTTAGAATTACTAAAAATGTCTAGAGAATTACATACTAAATGAGCAGCAGAGACACATCTGGCTGAAGGGCAGTCACTAGAAGAGCAGCACAATAGGGAAAAATTACGGAAGTTCCGAGAGGGAGCTCGAATGCCAACTGTTTCTAGGACCGAAGGACAGTTTTTGTCACCTTTAAAAACACATATTAGGAACAAAGCGTCTATGTGGCGACGCCTAGTGTGGAGTGATCGCAGATTTAACATATCGAGCATATTGATGTAATGATATTCCATGTCATGAAAAAATCGGTTGTGGCAAAGTGCTGCGAATTTTCTTTGTATACGCTCAAGTTTATTAGAGTCAGTGTTGGTCACAGAGTTCCAAACCACAGAAGCGTACTCTAATTTAGATCTGACAAGGGCAGAATATAACGTCATTAGACTGTCTAAGGTGGAAAATGAGAAAGTGATAGTACGAATTAAGCCTAATAATTTTAAGGCATGCAAAAATAAATAATTTACATGTTGATGAAAGTAAAGTTTGGAATCAAAATATACTCCCAAGTCTTTAATGCAGTCAGCGCGAAGTAAGACAGAATTACCCAGTCTATATGGAAAGCTCAAGGCAGTAGTTTTCCTGGTAAAGGAAATAATTCTAATTTTGCTAATGTTGGGTTTCATAAAATTAGCCATGCACCAACTGTAAACTCTAGCGATGTCTAATTGTAGAAGTATACAATCAGTGGGGGACTTAATAGCTCGATAGATCTTGAGGTTGTCTGCATACAAAAGACAGCAGGAGTGGTTTATTACTTCACACAGTTCGTTGATAAAAATGTTAAAGAGTAGAGGCCCTAAGACTGACCCTTGAGGGACTCCCGACCGAGCAATAAAAGTAGAGGAGAATTGACCCGAAAAACGTACACGAGACACTGTATTAGTTAGGTAGCTAGAGAGCCAGTTGATATATCCAGAGGACAGCTCATAGTTATCGAGTTTACGAAGAAGCAAAGCATGTGGAAGAATATCGAAAGCGTTTGTAAAGTCAAAGTATATGGAGTCGGTTTGACCCTGTGAACAGACAAGGGGAGCAGTAAATTCTAGGAAAGTGACTAAGTTGGTGACAGTAGACCTGGACTTAATAAAACCATGTTGAAAACGGTTCAATTTTGATTTAAGAAAATGATAAATGTGGTCGTGTATGATAGATTCAAAAATTTTGGAAAAGTTGTTGAGGATCGCTATGGGTCTGTAGTTTTCCCTTTTTTAAAAACAGAGATGATGACAGCCTGCTTCCACAATTTGGGAAAGGTGTTCTGGGACAGACTGAGATTAAAAATAAACCTGAGAATAGGTACAAAGATTTCAGAGCAGCCCTTTATAATGAAACTGGGTATGGAGTCAAGTCCGACTGACTTCGTTGGTCTCAGCCGCTTTATAGCTTTGTGGACATCGGCGGTAGAAATACAGGCAATTGGTAAAATAGCAGTGAAGCAATTTCCAGTGGAGATGGTACCAGGGCAGGAGCTACCGCC